CAGCTTTTGATCAGGAGCCAGGTGACCAGCCTGAAACCCACCACACCCTGCTAGTGCCGCCGCTGTTTGTTTGCGGCTACTTATTTGTTGCAGTGTACTACAACTTATTCGCAGCTAACCTTCTTCGGAGAAGGTATCCCCCTATCCACAACCCGGGGACGCGCCTGGTAGCATTCAGCTCTGCTTCCTTCCAGGGCCACATTTGCACACGTCGCGATGCTGTCAGCAGACACTTATGGCATTTTAACAGGATATCGGTTGCCAGCCGAAAACCCCACCACGTCCTCTAGCATCGCCGCTGATCGNTGAGGTAGCTTCATCTATTCACGGTTAAAAACCAAGGTGGCCGTTCTCCTATCCGTGACCTGGAGACGCGCTCGGTAGCACTCAGCTGTGCTATCCGTAGACAGTTCCATGCCTTCGGGCCGAGGGTATGTGCTTTGCACCTTCAAAGTGAAAAGTGATGCTGCAGGACTGGATTTCGCCTACTCCCGCTTTGAAACTAAATGGTCGGGAATCAGTCACGGTGGATTACTTTTCCTACTTAGGTAGTTGCGCGATCAATGACTTAAACGCAGCAAAGGAGAATGGCCACATTTGCAAGACCTGGGCCGCATACGCAGGACTAAGACACCTTTGGCATAGACGCGACGTTTCACTGAAGTTGAAAGGTGGTATATATTGTGCTGGTGTACGTTCAGTTCCGCTTTATGGCTGTGAGACCTTGAATTTGCGAGTAGAAGATATCCGTCGACTATAGGTTTTCGGTTATCACGCTTTTTAGCCGATGTGGGATGGAGCAAACAGGTTAGTAGCATGGATGTACTCCGTCGTGTGTTTGGGAGTCTGTGAGGTTTGAACCTGCTAGCACACCGAATTCAGCTTAGTAGACTTCGCTGACTAGGGCACGTATTGCGTATGCTCAGCCATGACCTGCCGCACTGCACTTTATTCGCTGTAACCGTCCCAGGTTGGAGGAAACCACGTGGAGGTCAGTAGACAACGTAGAGACGAGGCTTGAAGAAATGCGCAGAGACTTAAGATAGAGTAGGTGTCTGTCACCCTTCAGGTTGCGATCCGAAAGACTGCACAACCGGTTGGTTGGAGACATTAAAGGATATGGCAGCAAATCACAGCAGTGGCTTGTTTGTTTGTTCGTTTTTTTTCATTTCTTATCAGACCAGAACGCTTGAAACGATTGACATTTGCCAAATTGAGACATCTGTGGCGCCGTCACGACATCCGGCTGCTTGTTAAGGGTCGAGTATATGCTGCAGCAGTTCGGTCAGTTCTACTTTACGGTGCTGAGACTTGGCCACTGCGGAAACAGGATAAAAATGAGTTGTCGGTGTTCAAACGCCGCTGTCTACGTCGCATTGCACGAATCTGGTGGGGTAACCGGACGAGCAATGTTGAGGTTAAGCGTAGAGGCAGTCACGGTCGTCCACTGAAGCAAGCGATCGACCTCCATAGATCACATTTGTTGGGGCGTTTTACGCATATCGCCTAATAGGTTGCCACGGGGGCAATGTTTACTAAGGCAGGTAGCGGTTGAAAAATATTAAGAATGATCAAGCTAAGACCTGGCATGAGGGTATGGAAACCCTAACCAGGAGTGTGAGTCACATAGACCCCGTTAGACTGCCTTGATTGAGATCTCCGGATGATGGTCACCGATGGTTAGAGACACAGTGATATGGCTGGANATACTCGTGCATCCACGCATTATTCCCTCAACACCATTCGATATGAATTTTCCATCTTCCACTTGAATTTGCTTTCAACATCTTAATCATCATCCTGCTGTTTTATATAAATGGGCAACCAAAAGACAGCTACCAAAACAGGCGCACGAAAGTGCATGGTAAATGGTTGTAAAAAGTGAAACTGTGTGAATTGGTGATCATACTGATTTACAAGAATCGTGTCAAACCACAGGAATTTGTTTGATCAACATTGCCTCTAAACGTCTCGCTAGGATCATACCCCGTCGATTGTCTGCCATACGTAAAGGCTGCATGCACGAGAACCATGTTGATTTTATGCCTGGTCGAGGTTGCATCGATCACATCTTCACTTTACCAAATTATGGAACAGCGACATTCTTCTCGTAGACCTACCATCTCCATCTGGAAGCGGCTTTCGATTCAGTCGACCACTCTTAACTCTGGCGCTACCTTTCGTTGAACGATTTGTTCGAGAAGTTTCAGAGGAATATACTGTTAGCCGATTTGGGGCTCTTGCTAATCGCGCGTCCAGTTCCTTGTGTTGTTGGCGGTTTCGTTGGCTTCCAACACTTCGAGTCAGTAGTGTTTTCTAGAAGGCAGAATGTTATTGTGCAGTGTCGCATCCCTTACAATGTTTCGGAAAGGAAAGCCTAAAGATTAACTCTCAGCATTCAACTTCGGGAAATACTGCTGCCCAGCTTTCATCTAGCTTTCTCTTGAAAGATTCGACACTAATACAGTTAACCACGTCTTCAGGTAATTTACTTCACAATGGTATAACCGTGCTTGTGAAGGACCTAGCTCGTAGATTTATTCTACAATGACTTCTTTCCAGTCTAAGTTGATGCCCCCTCGTGCCCCTGGTAGGAACAATTGAGAATAGGTCTTCAAAATTTAGATCCGAAAGCCCTTTGACAATCTTAAATGTCTCTATAAGGTCTCCGCGCAGTCGTCTGCGGGCCAGGGAGAATAGGTCCCGGTCCCTCAGTCGTTGGAGGTATCCCTTACCTTTCTGGCCTGCTATCATTCTGGTTGTTAAACCCTGTAATTTCTGAAGACAGTTCATCCTGTTTAAAATAAGGCTCCCATGCTTGTACGCAATATTCTAAATGGTAGACTGTCCGCAGACAGATCATGGTCTGGAGTTTGCAGATGACATTGTGCTGCTAAGTGAAGATCGAGATAAGTTGCATTCTTTTCTTGATAGCATGAGTGGCAGAGCAGCCATGCGTATGCGTATGCGTTTTGCACCTTCAACGTGTAAAATGGTACTGCAAGGCTGGTTACCTCGGGAGGACCGTAACCGTTGGTTAGAGACACTGACGGATATGGGTGATTGTCGCATACAATGGTGTTTGTGCATCTTCTCAATTCCGTTGCAACGATAGTCCACTGAAATTCTGCATTTTCCATTCGGATTTGCTTTCAACCTTTCTGTCCTATAGTGATATATATATATATATATATATATATATGGAATGTCTACCAATCTTCAAGTATATACGAAGCTTTTTTCTGCGTAGATTTTTTCCCTCCACCTAAATATTCATTTTGATTCCACTTTTACTAGTTGTCTGGTACTTTATCCTTTTGATGATGTTCAAGATTTATTGTTCATTGTTCATTCATAATGTAGTCACATTTAACTCGATGGTGTACACGAGGGTTCGAGTTAAATATAGATCCTTTTCAGAGTAATACTAACAGGTGTTTGATCCCTTTTTAGCATTATTGTTCAAGATGAGCTCGGAATTACTGGAGTCCTCTTCCCACTCTCGACGCCCGAAGGATTCGTCTTTTTTCCAACAAAGACTTCCTGCTTGGCAGCCTATGTTTACAGCAAAAAAATCTGCGGCCACATTCATTGTACTGGGTATTGTTTTTATTCCAATAGGCGTCGTTTTGTTGGTTACTTCGAATAACGTCACTGAATACGTAGTTGATTATACTGACTGCACAAATCCTGGGGGAAATAAAACCTGTGCGGAACAGTTAAGCTTGAATCTTCCATGCGAATGTGTAATAACGGTAGAGATTACCACGGATATTCCGGGACCGGTATATTTTTACTATGGGTTAAAGAACTTCTACCAAAATCACCGTCGTTACGGTCGTTCAAAAAGTGATACCCAACTCCTAGGCCGAAAAGTGGATCCCAGTAGTCTCTCAAGTTGCTCTCCCTACGCATCAGTTACTACCGGTGATACAACGAAAGCGATTCTGCCCTGCGGTGCAATTGCAAACAGCATATTCAATGATACATTTTCGTTGAGCCTCATATCTCGATCAGGATCCACTACACCTGTTCCGGTGACCAACAAAGGAATCGCTTGGCAATCGGACATAGACAGGAAATATGGCACTTTGACAAATGAAAGTATGTTTAATCTTTGGTGATTTTTATTCGCTTTTAATCCGTCTCAGCGGTTACCGATACCGTTAAGCCACCGAACTGGAATTTGACTGAACTTGAAAGGTCACCAGGGGCATTCAAAACGGATGAGGAGCTTATGGTCTGGATGCGTGTCGCCGCTTTGCCAAACTTCCGTAAGCTGCATCGAAGGATTCTGCAAGAGGGTGATTTTTCCCGTGGCTTGCCGGCCGGCACCTACACGATCAATGTAGCATATAGTGAGTGCCATTTTAATGATCGTTACCAAACAGGTATGATCTTTGGACTCTGTTTATAAAGTAAACCTTTACTCCTACATCATATATACCTCTGGTCAAGCTTTGCTAAAAGAGTGAAAAGCTTGTATGTATGAACATTTTATTTTTTTTCCCGCTGTTATTTTATTGCTATCATAAGTAGAATCATTAGTTATGCTTCACCAAATTCGATATAACTAGCGAATCGTTTGGATAGCGCAAATTTATTTACTCGGACTGTCTTTGTGGCACCGCGATCACAACGAGACAGCACCTTGACGTGGTTTGATGGCTTGTGCACATCTATGACCCAACGAGCTACACGGGACGGCTTCTGTCGAGCCAGGAGATCTTATCATGCCTAGCAGGTCAGACAAAGATCAGTCTCCTGGTTCTCTAGATTGGGGGTTCGACTGGAGTTAGTGTCTCAGTCGATAAAAGCATTGGTGGAGTAATTCATCCAAGTTAATCGGTTTCCAATCCACGTCAACCGCTGCCTTGCGGTTAGGTTCTTGTTAAAACCAAAGGCTTTGAACGAGAACCCTAATCGTTCTCCTGCTTAGTTGTTCGGACACCTCACCAGTACCCATCCATGAAACTCTATATCATACACAAACAAATACTTCCAAACTGCATCTGTCGTCGCGCAGGATAATCAGGACCGCGCTGCCCATTGCATTGAGCGAGGTTGGTAGTGATAAGTAGGTTACTACTCAGATATCCCAACCTTTGTTTAACTCTTTGTCTTCCGTACCCAACCCAACCCGTAATATTCCCTCAGACAGCTTGTTGCTCACTCGCCAAAGTTCGTCGCCAAGTAATCCGGTAAGTAGTTTACCACAAAATAGAGTGCATACTCTGAAGTCTCGTGAATCACTGAATCTGGGAGCGTTCAACCTGAGGACTCTGATGCAGGTAGGCCAACAAGCGTGTCTGGCGCGTACAATGGCCTCTTTGGGGATTAATGTCTGCTGCGTGTCGGAGACGCGAATCCAGGATCCTAGTACTATAAATTAATTAAGTGCACCGGGGTTGTCTTCGAGGTTATTCCTCCGCACTTCAGGTGATGACGAAGCCCGTTCAGTAGGCAAGGGCGCTACAGGCATATTACTCAACAATACTGCTGAGGCCGCACTACTCAATTGGATACCCGTCAACAACCGCTTACGTGCGATGCGGCTCCAAGGGTCTGTCAGCGTCTGGAAGGGAAGCAACACCAGAAGGTGTTTCTTCATCATTTCAGTGTATGCACCGACCAACTGCAGTTCTGACGCACAAAAGGACGAGTTTTTGTGATAAGCTCACCAACCCCATTCAGTTGAGCTGAAGCTCCGATATAGTTGTTCTCGCAGGCGATTTTAACTCTCAAGTTGGAAAACTGAGCGCATCGGAAGCTTGTCTAGGCAGTCATTCTGCTCTGCCCTGCCAGCGAACAGATAATGGCGATCGACTACTGCAGTTCTGCGCAGATCATCATCTGTTCCTATCCAGTACCAACTTCCGACACAGCTCCCAACGGACAGCAACGTGGCGCTCAAATTCAACTGGTACGCTAACTGAGCTCGACCATATAGCAGTAAGCTACCGTTGGTGTGGCTCAGTACAAAACTGCAGGTCCTATTAGACCACCTACGTTGAATCTGATCATGGGTCAGTTTTGATGCAGTTCACTCTCCAACTCGTTGGTCGCGGAAGACCCCACCAAACCCGTTTGGCAATTCATTACTTATCTGACTCAGCCGTTCGTGCCCGTTTTGAATCAGAACGAGGGCAAGAGCTAAACGTGCTATGGGGTGGTAGTGTAGATGAACAATGGGATCGGATTAGACGAGCAATGCACTCCGCAGCGAAAGTTGCTTGTGGATCTGAAGTGGTAGCCCATCCGAGGAGGTATTGGATACCTGATGAGTCAGTAACACTGATGGAGAAAAAGTGGCGAATCCCAACCACCTGGGATCAAGGCAGGGTTAGATGGCGTCTGCAACGTCAACTCAAGAAAGCCCGCGATAACTGGTGGGCAACAATAGTTAGTGAAATGTAAGTAGCAGCTGCATCAGGGAATAGTCAGAGACTGTTCCATTTGATACACAACATGCGAGGTCGGCGAACCACCGTTAGTGAAACAATCTGCGACAAAAGTGGACAGGCTATTCACGATACGGAGCAATCCATTGACCGGTGGGCGGAGTGCTTCAACGAGCAGTTCAGCTGGCCAGGCGCTAACTAGACTATCTCGTCTGCTGTAGTTGAGCCTTCGTGGGCAGTGTCATCTGAACCTCCTACTGAAGCAGAATTATGATCTTGCATCCAAGAAAGGAAAAGCAACAGGATCGGACGGGCTTCCTTCCACTCTTTTCAAAATGAGGGGGGGGGCGATAACCTCGTATATTCCATTACTGATTTAATGCGTAACATCTGGCCACACGAGCGCATTCCGTCATCCTTGAGCGAACCACTGATTGTTCCAATTTCTAAGAAGGGATCTTGGAATGATTGCGCAAACCACTGTGGAATAAGTTTGATCCCAATCGTCACCAAGTTACTAGCCTCCATTACACTTTGACGTCTGACACCGTATAGGTAGACAAACATCCGCGAACAACAAGCAGGATTTCGACCAGGTCGCGGTTGTATCGACCAAATCTTCACTCTGCTTCAAGTCCTCGATCTACGTCATACGCACCGTCGACCAACGGTTGTCGTGTTCCTTGACCTAAAAGGGGCCTTCGACTCATTTGACCGCGAATTCTTGATTGGTTCGCTCCTTCACAAAGGACTGCCGCAAAACTATGTGAATATTCTGATTTCACTCTACTCACATACCTCCTATAGCCTAAGGGTCTACGGCGAGCTGAGTAGGTCGTTCGTAACTAACAGTGGTGTTCGTCAAGGATGCCCTCTGTCGCCATTCCGGTTCAATTTTGTCATAGACGAAATACTGGAGAACACACCTCGTGGTCTCCGAAATGCAGGTATTGAATGGGCAGCTGGAGAAAAGCTGTGCGATTTGGCGTCCGGTGACGACATCCTTTGCGTGTTCAAATGTATGAAGGATGTACAAAGAAAACTTGACAGATTCGTAAGTTCTGTCGCTCCGTTCGGTATGTGCTTCGCACCTTCAAAATATAAAGTGATTCTGTAAGACTGGGTGTCGCTGAGTTCCGTTCTGAAACTAAACGATCAGGAATTAGCTGAAGCTGACTGTTTCTCGTACTTGGGTAGCTGCGTGACAAACGATGCTAGCGCATCAAAGAAGATAACCGCCAGCATCTTCAGGGTTCGAGTAGGGTACGCAGGACTTAAACACCTGCAGCGGCAAAGTGACGTTCCACTGAAATTGAAAAGTCGCGTATACTGCTCCACTGTACGATCAGTTCTGCTTGACGGTTGTGAAACCTTGAATTTTCATTCTCATTTGACTTGTCTGCATTATGAGTTTGGCAGTGATCCATGAAGTTCGATTCACTGTATTACTCTGACAATGATGATGATGAGAGAGTATGATAACTGAATATGGCATCAGAAGGCACGAAAATTTATCTTCACTTGTTTTTTTCCATACGTACGCAAACAGATTTCCCGGTAACCGGATTTGGGGGAAAGAAGTCGTTCATCATTGGAAACGTCAGCTGGTTGGGTGGGAAAAATAACACGCTTGGGGTGACTTGTATTGTGACCGGTGCATTACATTTGATCCTCGGTATCGCGTTTCTCGTGGTTCACATCTACTCCAGCAGACGGTAAGTTCCTGCTCCTATGTAGCTCATTGCGGTTCTCTCGACTTTTTTTGCCGTAATCTTGTTTTGTTTGGTCCCAGAGAAATAATTTTTGTTTTAAGCAACCACAAACTTTCTGTGTCTGTTGGCCTATCTATCCTTTCTTCTTATAGGCCAACCGAGTTCTTTAGATTTCGCATTGACTACTTTTTAACTTGTGTTCATTACTGAATGACTGTGTACAGCTGCGGCGAGTGGTTCCTGCTTGGACCCATGTTATGACGCGTTGTTCTTTATGTACCTCTAGACCCCCTACAGGCATTATGTACACTTATTCATTCTCTGGCTCGTTTATGCTAGAATCTTTTCATTATACTCTAATGGTCGGTTTCCGTAGGTAGCACTCTCTTGAGGTCGAGATCAGTTCAATCATGTCTTAGACCTTTGTGTTGCTGGTTTCGATTTGAATCCCTAAATATGCAGCTCTTTTGCTGCAATGATCGTATATAATCATTTTCCCCTGTTGTCGCCTGTATCAGGATGCCCCTAACTACATGTAGTTCTTTCAGGCGCCAGCTACCCAATATCAAATACGTTTATCCATTCACCCCTTTTGTGATTAGCGCTGTTTGGAATTCCGAATCATCAGACTCTCAAACCATAGATACTTCAGCGCAATCAGGCTATTCTTAATTAAATTTGTGACTGTCCCTGTTCGAAACGGGTAAGTTGTTCGTCCTCGGCTTCTTTGCACGTGCCAGTCCAAAGTGTAGCTTGCATGCAGCTCACCATACTCTTGTCTGGATCTCTCTGTTTGTGTGAAGGTGTATGTTCTGCATGGACACCCGCGCTACCTCTGCCCTGACTTCCGATTCGCGATAGCAGAGGCGTGTTTTGTTTGAGCCACTTCTCCCCTGTACCTATTTGTTTTTCGTTTGGTTTTAGAATTCTCTCACTGTCATCTCTTGTGATAGGTCAATATAAACGCACCATAGCCAAGAGTTAGCATCGTTTATACGGTAACTGGCTTTAAAAGATAATTATACTGGATTGCGTGCCTCCAGGACCCTGCGAGCTATACAGAATGGCTCCTCACAGCTGCAGATCCAATCGTGCCTTGAAGGTCAACGGGTAGATGCCAGACGAAGCTCAGTCTTACAGGGTCAGCTGCTTGGCACCTCCTGGTCTCCCTTGACTGTCCGCTCCCACCCCTGGAGAGTTCATTCCAACAAAACAGCACTAGGGGCAATTTACCGGTAAAAAGCCGTCTGTATAGACGTAGGACCAGGGTACCTGGGGCCTCCTACTGACGGTGGGAGAAGTCCTCGCACCTCACTGGACAGCTACCGCTTGCCCAAGCTTGATAACCCCGAGCCAATAAAGTGCCGTCCCGTTCACGTTCCACTTGTCTCATTGGGTGCATGAGACTAACGGCCGATCTCAAAAAGCGGACCGTCAATCAGTGTACCGGCTAACCACAACCAAAATTCAAAGGCCTTGCGTGGCAGGTCTCTAGAAGCTCCCACACGGGTGCTTCTTTCAGGCTCCGCGCTATGTAAGAACCGAGCTATCACTTCTCGACTGAATCCTGGTTAACAATCGACTTTGCGCTGTACGTCTGGATGGTTCAGTACGGATCAACAGCTACAGAACGAAGCGTCGATGCTTATTGGTCGTATCCGCCTATGCACCAACTGATTGCAGTATGCCAGAACTGAAGGGTGAATTCTACAAGGACCTCTCAGCTGCTCCAAAGTGCTCGGTCAACGGACATCGTGGTAATCGCTGGAGACTTCAATGCTCAGGTGGAATCTCCGGATGAATCAGAGGCTTCTTGGTGGTTCACATGCAATCCCAGCCAACCGGACTGACAACGGAGAACTCCTACTTCAATTTTGCGCTGACCACGGACGGTTTCTGTCAAGCACCAACTTTTCACTCCAGAAACGACACCGACTCATATGGAGACCGCCAACCGCTTCACAGCGCTGGACTCAAGTCGACCACGTCACCATCAGCCACTGCTGTCGAGGATACATTGAAGACTGATCAACACCCGTGAACACCGACCATGCCCTGCTACGAGCGAAATTCTCCCTACGCCTAGTAAACAACCGCAGAAAAGCCACCGAAAACGGATGTCCACAATACAATATCAGCGACGGTTGCAAATTAGCCTTCAAAGCCCTAGCGCCTCAAATAGCTTCTGCTAAGGAAGTCCTACCTACTGCCTTCTCGTGGCGGAGGTGTTAACACTAGAGTGCGAGGGCAAAGGCGAACGCCCGGCGCTTTCCACCGGGTTTATTGACCACTAGTAGTCAGTCTAGGGCAGTTGGTTAAACCCTGATTCCAAACCACCCACACCTGGCGTAAGAAGCTCATAGTGGTACCAATCTTCGGCGCAACCGAACCGGTCTCCTTAATCCTAAATCCGTGATGCTCACCGGCAAGTGCGCGGCTCAAGGGCAATCTGGGTACCCTGCCGCATCCGAAAGGCGTATGAACTGACCCCCCCCCCGCAGTCACCGGCTCCCAGAGGATCGTGGACTCCCTACTCCACCCCACTGCCTTGCGGGTCAGGTTCTTTAACCAAAGCCTCCGGGTAGGGTCCCCCAAGAAAACCCTCCACCTCGGCCTGGGCAACCGGGTAGTACCACGCCCGCAAACTACCCATGGACTTTGAACACAAATACACGCATATCACAGATTATTACAACTCTGCAAAGCTTTCTCTTAAAATCTGCACGCAACACTCTCACCCGCCCCCCACTTTTTCTACTGTTTGCCCCATCCCGAATGGTTCCACTGACGTAGGTTCATGTTGTAGCTCGCTGCTATCCTCCTTGACATCTGTCTCGGGACCGACCGTTCCATTCCTCCGATCTCACTCTACGTTCAAACTGGCTTCATTCAACGTAAGAACTCTAATGCGTATAGAACAACAAACAGGCTTAGCTCGTACGCTCGAAAGTCTAGAGATTGATGTGTGTTGCCTCTCGGAAACACGATCCAGGATCCGAGCTCAGTGATCCGATTAACGTCTCCTTCCAACCCAAAAGAAGCGTTTCAACTGCGCGTCTGCGGGGACCGTATCGC